ACACACACACACACACACACACACACACACACACACACACCTCGTTTAATTGCTGTTGAAAAGATCCTGTCCGATAGCAGCAACTGGAGACACTCGTTTGCATCGCTGCAGTCTGTTTCATTAGAGCGTCGGTGTATTTTTAGAGACATTGTTTCGTCCACACGGGAACAAACACACGAGAAGAACGGTGGCAGAGAGACGGGCCAGAATGCAATGCAGCAACGAGAGAGGCTGTGTTTTTTAAATAATCATAAACACATTTCTGCTCCAACAGAAAGAGTTTGTTTTGAAGATCTCATCATCGAGGAAATAACCGTTTTCTCTCGGTCATTGTTCTGCTTACTGTGTTCTTGAACTTTATTCTTTACTGATATCATTTAATATCATTAGTCAAATATCTTTTGTGTCTGGGCAGACAGCGGTTACAAGTGACGCCTAAACTTATAATTCCGAGTCGTTTTTAAAGCTAAAAACACAAAACATTCCAGCTTTGAATATTTGAGGATTTGCTGTTTGTCTCAGTTTCATAATTTGTTTAATAAATATCTTTGAGTTTTAGAACGTCGGTCAAACAAACAACACAATTTGAAGGTGTTATATATATTTTACTATTCTGACATTTTATACACTAAACAGCTGATTGAACCCAACAGGTTATTTGACAGTGAAAATAATCACTAGAGAGCCTTTATGGAGACTTTACCGGCTGCACATTCAGATGGTGTTTGGGTGTGAATGCGAGGAGACTAAACCTCTAAATAACTGGGCCCGGCCTCGGGCAGAGAGGAACTCTATTCTGGGAGAGTTTTATGGAGGTCCGGCTGCTGAAAGGAGAGGAACGGCGACGACACAAAGACGAAGTGTCGTCTCCACAATCTAGTTCGTCTCGTCCTTGAGTTAATCTGACGTAATCGGACCATCGAAACCGACAGAAATACTTTGCTAAACATTCCTTAAACCGGAGACCTTCACAGCTCACCCACAAATAAGAAGCAGCTACTGTTTGGCACGTTCCTCTTTCACATATCTGCTTCGTTAGTTTGGAGATTCAAGGCATCGACCTTCCTCCTCTTAACACTGGATGTCAGTAAGTAACTTTTCAGTCGTCTCACAGAGCCTTCAGACCCGACAAAGGACAAACGCACTGCTGCCCGTGAGCTCTTAATAGCAAGAAGAAAAATCCACCAACAGACAAATATTGTAGAAACTAAAATCTGCTACATTATGAACCAACTTCTCAGGTCTTCTGCTTCCTGTGCTAAACATGGAGGAGCAGCATTGGGTTTTTATGCTTCATACATCTGAACAAACTCCCAGAAAACTGCTGAAACTCACTTCTTTTAAATCACGACTGAAGACCTTTACGTTCTGTTTTTACACTGAAGCATTTATTCCTGTTCTCTTCTTGTCGAGCTGGTTTTAGCTCTTTAATGACTCTTATAAATAGTATTTAAACGTCCTTTACTGGCGTTTCTTTTGCACTGTGTTGTATAAATAACCTGAAGGAACACCATGACATTTACTAAACGCTTTCTGCAGAACGGCAAAGAAGAGATAAAGACTTCATCGGGCTCAACTCCTGGAACTCTGACACTAACAGACGCCTGCAAACATTTGAGGTTTCTACAGCACACTAATTATTTTCAAATCTAACTGCAAAAACATGAAGTACTTAAATATGTATTTTGTGTTTAACCGTCTCTACTCTCTGCTGTATCCCGTTAGAGACAAAACAAGCACATTTCTCAGGACAACAGTGAATAATAAAACCCTGGGTTTCCTAGTTGAATACCTGATGACGGAGTCGGTGCGGTTGCAGCCCGGTATGGACGAGGCCTTCTCCCCCGGCGAGCCGAGGATCTGCAGCGTCGTGTTGATGTCTACTTCTGTGGAGTGTTTGATGGAGAAATCCATCACCTCCGAGGGGATCAGCGGGGTCTCGCCCTGACAGTCGTCTGCTAATAAATAACCTGGAGGACGCACAGACAGACGCAGATGTTACGTGTCTTCTCTCTCAGGACTGATTCCTACTAAGGCCTGAAGAGAGGCAGATCAGGTGATCTGCTGCTGCAGCTTCAAATTAGGTGAGAAGACACCGGAACCTTCTGGAGTCTCATTGGAGGGATTTAAAGTGACTCTAAAGGACTCAATGTTTAGAATGTCTCTTCATGTATTATAATTCTGTAATCTTGTTCTTTGTCTTCATTTTAAATAGTTTGTTTTTACTTGTGTTAATGAACAATAACATCCTCAGTGTAGAGAAGTGTGCAATCACAAACATTAAAGAGCAAAGGGAACATTGATTCAGGAAATTGATAATAAAAGAAACAGCGTAGTACATCCCGCTGCTGACCTGAGACCAGTATGAGCCAGTGGATGTCCTCGTAGAGGTCGTCCAGCACCTTGCGGTCCATTGATCCGGGATCAGATGAGGCCATGAGATGCTGCTGGGTCCTCTGGAGCTGACCGTGCAGCCGCGTCACTCGGTCCTCCAGCAGGCTGCAGGACGACGACACAAGAGCAACAAATCTCCAATACACGTATAATAACCAAACTAAACTACAAACACACCGAGAACTTGAAGATGGAGATCTTGCATGTACTTTCATAATATAGACATAAAAGTGTTTAATGTGTTTACGTTGTGAGCAGGGGGATGCAGTGGTCCGCCGCCACACGTCCCAGCATGCCGATGCTGGACAGCTGGTCTGAGAACAGCTCCCGGTCGTCTTCCTGTATCTCGTTTATCTCGTCCTCCTCGTGAGACGATATGCCGTTCACCGACTGAAGGAGGAGCGAGGTTCAGGGTTCAGGGTGTGCAGAGAGGAAAAAGTGAGTTAAACACGTCAGGAGGACGAGATGATTCAAACCCTGATAAGTAATCTGGTGAACAATCGTTTTCCCTCCTGTGTGTGTTTGTTTGTTGTATTTAAAGGATTCACATTCGCTGATTCCAAGAGTTAATCACTCGAGGTCCTTCCTTTGAAGCTGCCTTCCCTGAGAGGAACACACTGTATTTATGGTAATTACAGGCTCACCAGGTTCCGGGTGCCGTCCGGAGCAGCCAGGTGACACTGGATGTACGAGTTGAACACCTGGATTGCCGGCTGGACGAAGCAGCCGCGAGGAAAATGCTCCTCGTCCTGGACGAGGGTCAGCCACGACTCCAGCAGCCGGTCGTAGGCCTCCATGTAAACCATGTCGTCTTTATCCAGCTGAGCGAGGACAGGAGGAGCAAAGGGACGACACAATGAGACGGTTCACTGGCTCTGTTGTCTTTACCGATCCAGTGAAGTGTATTGTTCAGGTCGTACAGACTCAAAATGTCTTTATGTAAATAATTTTACATAAACGCTTTGAACCCCAAAACAAGTCAGCGGGATGGAAAAGCCAAAACTACACCGTTCATCACAGCTAGACGCTTTAAAAAACATCAATATATCATCAGATATTCTTCTTTACGACAGTCCTTGAACACATCATGTGTGACTAACATTTCCATCAGAAAAAGAAACCGTAACTAAGGTCAAAATTGTGATATTTCATTCCCCAAATAAACCGTTTGCTTTGCTCAGATCCTGTAAAAAACATTAAACTCTGCACTGAACACAGACAAGAGACATGTTCTAGTTCTCTCTACTTCTAGACGAGGAACTCATGGATACAGATTCCACAAATAGCAGATCATGTCCAGGCCTGTAACTGTGTATCGTCCTTTTTTATGTAAGATTACATAAGACCACATCTCCAACATCTGTAATTAATTCAAGAAGCTCACAAGATAATTCACACGATAGGGAAGCAGGAAAAACAACAAAGCTGTGTTTATTTCTGAAGATTATCTGATAAACTCTTATTTTTACAGTATAATAAAGAACTAAATGAACTCTGAACATTGTTAAATCACTCGCAGTCAATTTATTTCAGACGATTCGTTCGTCTGTGTAAAGTGAGCGACAGATTGTAAGACTTCTGAGGAGGTAGAACATGGACCATGGCTAAAATAATGCTATTATTATTATTATTATTATTATTATTATTATGAACCAATGTTTCCTTTTTCAGTGAAGAAGAGCAGCGTTTTTTTTGTGAGATAAAGGACGAAGGTGTCGTGACTCACCACCTCCTCCAGGGCGGCGCTGCGTCCGAAGGAGCAGGTGAGCAGCGTGAGGCAGTTGATGAAGGAGGTGAAGAGGTCGCTGGGCAGCGCCGTCAGAGTGCTTCTTGGGAACATGGAGATCAGGTTGGAGATGATGTTGGAGATGCCCACCGCCTCCGAGTCCTCGATCTCAATCCTGGGGAATAGAGGAGATAATAAAATGAGATGGTTTCTGATTTCTTCTCTTTCCTCCACTCTGGTGCTTTGGCTCGAGGACGGACTCTTTCCACTCTGCAGGGCGAGGCTGAGGTCACTTCACCAGTTTACACACTTGGTGACTGAGGTTTGGACGCAGACATGAAAATTGATCCGTAATCAAAACTCGTGGGCAACTTGACCCCCCGAGCAGTTTTTCCACAGCTGACTCCGAGGTTATTTTTATGGTATTTCTGCCTCATGGTACAGCACACTGAGCACACGATGACACAGAGAACGACTGTAGTTACACTTTAATTAGACTTATATCATCAGATCGAACCATGAAGAATGAAGTGACATGTGTGGACACGCTGAAATCATATCTGGCTCATAAATAGTTTTATTTTAGATTGTAATCTGAATTCTTCACCATCTGGACGACTCTAATCACAGCGCCTGTACCATCGATGTGATGAGATACTGAAGGATCACAAGAAGAAGAAATGTTAAATATCAAATATCATTTAACAGCTCTACTTGTGAGGTCATTGCTAATGTCAGAATTCAACACAATGGCATGTTCTCAATGCAGATGCTGGATACCACGGTAAAGGACAAAAACAAATCAATAAACCCCACGTGCTTCATCACACACTCCTTTATTAACATTGTCATACTGGTTTTTGCAAATGTATTATTACTCCTGGCGATAAACCCCGACATTTTACAAGATTACATTTGAACACATCATGATAAAGTTAGAATTTATCTTTGCCCAACACTCATTTTTACTGAATAGAGCTTGAATGCATCATAATGTAACTCAATGCAACCTCCATTAGCGTTAGCTCTTTTATTTAGCCGATCAGGACTGTGCTGTCCACCGAATGCTAACACCTAACAGTAACTAGCTCTCCTCCTGCAGATTTACACACCGATTTGTTGAATGTAGAATTATTAGGGACATTTTTTATCGTCTCCGGGACGTCGTTAGTCTGAAAAACGAGTACTGTCAGTTTTTCAGAATTTTGGTACTGAAGCGTCAGTTCTCGTGACATCCATATTCGCAGGTATTTCTTCAATAACTAGATTGGAATATTTAAAAAAGGAAAAGTCAGAGGAACACCAAAGTCGGCACACTTCATCCCCTGAAGACCACGAATGTCTGTACAAAACTTAACGTGAGTCCATCCAACAGTCAACAGTAGAGATAATTAGGTCCGACCAACATCATCATCCAGAGAGTCTTGCAGCTAGCGTGGCTAAAAATGTTACACTTCAGTCTCTTGTTTTAAAAAGCCATTAGAGATACCAAGTAAAGTCAAACTAAACTCAACTTTGCTGCCTCACTGATCATCTCAACATTGTATTTGAAATAAACTACGCGCTCCGAGTGCCTCAGGAAAGATGCATTAACAAATGAGAAGACTACATTTAATGCACAACTGTGATCAGACAGACACGAAAACTAATGTCAGAAATACAATGTAAGCTTTGGAGAGATCCAGTGAGAGGAACAAGAGGGGGAACAAGCTCCAGATGAACAATAAAAGTCTTGGTATTTATCCAAAAACGTGTTTTAAATTGAAAACATACTTCACATGCAATGTGTCTCAATAGCTGCAGCACTGCAGGGAAACACCAAAAATGTGTACAACAACCTAAAAACATCTCACATGATCCGATAACTAGACTATAAGGCCACAAATCTACCTGAAAACGACTCTCAATGACCACATGGACATCTATCATCACACACATCACGCTGATATAGACGATTCATTATCAAGATTAATTAATTAATTATCAACAGAAACATTTTTTATAAAAATCCCCAATTGTTTATGTTCCTCTCTCTTGTGTTTATAATTTAACAGGTAAAAACAAGGTTCAGAAAGAATAATCTTTTCAAGTTCTAAATCTTTAAAACATGCGGGGGAAAAGTTTTTAGCAGGTGATTGTTTTGATTTTTGCCAAAATCATATTTCATATTGTTTGTTGTTGTAATACTCGGTTTGGCCACAAGAGGCTGAAGGACGAACTACATCATCTTCTAAATTGGAATAAAAGCGTTCAGGTGTTCAATAGATCAAGATACTTTGTAGTCAAAAGACAGACGTGACCGTCACATAACTTGCTAACACACAATATGTGAATATATTGTTTTTCTCACTTGCCTCTCGGGGCTTCCGTAACCAACATATACGTTGATATATTCAAAATATTAGTCTCTACTCATGACCGCATGAAAACTAAACAGGCTTTACTTCTTATACGACGCATATACTGCAAGCGTGTGTTTTTCCAGGGTTTTCTACAATCCTGCTCAGTTATTAAGATGAAATTCTAAATATGCCATCTCAAGGAGATACTCCTCCCTTAACCCCTCTAAACCAACACCACCCACTACGTTTTCTGCACATAGCTGTCGTTCTTCTTCTTGCCTTACAGTCCTAATCCTGAGTTTGTGTTTGAGCAGACACACCTCTCTCTCTCTCACAGTCAGTCACAGAGGAACACTGTGTGAGAGGACGAGCTAACTCCGATCAGATGGAGCTAAATTGCGAGCAGAACTGTTCAATCATCGCACATCGGCCGTCCCTCCCTCTCTCTCTATGCATGGTTCTCCGATGAGGCAATTGGAAAAAAGCTCCAAGAATAGGTGATTACAGATGGAGCAGAAGAGAGAGAGAGAGAGACAGAGAGAAAGAGAGAGACAAAGCGAGCGAGAGACAGAGAGAGCGAAAGACAGAGAGAGCGAAAGACAGAGAGAGCGAAAGACAGAGAGAGAGACCACTTTGACTAGACACCCACCAACGTACATAAAACACTACGTCTGTATTTACTGACACCACCATTAAAACCCCTCTGCTAACATATAAGATGTTTTATTTATGACATTTATAAATAGTTACAAAAAGCTCAGATGATTTAACAACATGATTTAAAGCTAAATATGAGCAGGGCTGGGAACCTCGGTTTTAAGTGTCTGCAGCACCAACTGAATATCGGGTCTCATTTGTACTCTTGTTCTCATATTATCTGAACAGACAGATTTAACTTAAAATGTATCTGTACTAGAGCTAAAAGATTTCTAATTAATTAAATTCATATAGTGCCTGCTCAGTTTGCAGACAGTTTACAGAGATGTGTTAAGGAACACAGAGCGGTGGTAGAGAAGTCAAAACGTTGAGTTCTTCTTTTTTCTCATTTTTTTCTGGGGCCATGTTGGCAAAATAGGTCAAATCCATCTCAGGCTTTATGACTGAACAGTAAAACCTTAAATTGTATTCTTAGAGCAACGGTAAGCCAGCGGAGGGATAATAAAATGGGGCTAATGTGTTCTCTTATTGTTAAAAGTCCTGCAGCTGCCAGCTGCAGTTCTGCTTTTATAGAGTGCAGAACATAGTTAAAACAGCGGAGGCCTGAGTAACGTTCCGATTGGTCAGCGGGGATGAAACTATAAAAATAATTTCTCATTAACGTCCACCGTCGCGCTGAAGAGGGTCTTATCCTCATTGAGCTGGAAATAAGGACATTTAGTTTCTCAAAGTGATTCGTTACGACAATTAGGCTGCAGGAACAGTTTGGACCGACTTTGGAGGTAAAGGTGAGTATCATCGGCGTAGAAATGAACGCATATATTGTAGTCGTGAGACTGAATCTATTAAAGTGAAGATATTAACGTACAGCAGCTCAAAGTTAAAGCAATGTGAACAATATAGGTCTTTTCATTTCTAATGTTTGAGTCACGAGGGTTAATAAATAACTTTATTTAGCAGTTTTATCCACTAAACATTAGCTCCTTAAGCTGTGGACTGAAGTGCGATATTTAGAGCGATGGTGGAATGTTTATATTTTAAAGAAAACGTGATTCAGAATAATAGAGTTCATTCAAGTTCCATCAGAACTGTCAACCAGAAGATCAGGTGTGAAAAGAAGTGAGGAACTAAGTTCTGAAGTTCTCAAACTCAAATTAATTGAATACAACAAGATTAAGATTAAGAAACAGAAGCACTGGATGTTAGCTAGCTGAGCGTTAAGAAGCCCCGAGCAGATAAAACAGGATGTCAAACCACCAGAAGATAATCAAGTTCTGATGAAATCTGCATTAAAATCGCTCCATTAAGAGTTAAACTGAATCAAAACATGTGAGAGGAATCATGAGAGAGAGTTGAAACACTTCTCTTTGATATATATCACGATAAACTGAAAAACAAAACGTCACTTTGGGTTTTAGAAAGTCGTGAAAGACATTTTTTACTCTTCTGAGATTTTATAGACCAAACGATCAATCAGGAAAACAATAGAAAGACTTTTACAACAGATGAATAATACATCTGTCGTAAAAAACACATTTGTTTTATATGATTGTACTTATATAAATATAGAATATTTAAAAGCGACATCTGTATTTCAAAGACAAGTGTTGCTTGTTTGTCTTTTTTTTGGGGTCAAGCCAAACCTCAAAAGGACCGAGGACATTTCTCTGACTTATACAAAGAGCAGATCAAAACAGAGGAGGCTGGTTTGATGCCACATTGACATCATTTGTGGCGTAATGTTAAGTTGAACTTGGGACTTTTTCCAACCAAAAGCTCACAAAGAAGACTTTCAAGAGAAATGAAATAGTCTTGTTTTGTTGGGTTGTTGATCCAACAAAACAAGACATTGAAAGACGTCTCTCTGGGCTTCGTGATAGATGTTTTTCACTATTCTCTGGCACTATACAGACCAAACTACTCAATTTAAAAAGAGAACAATAACTGTTGGTTGCAGCCGTATTAGAGACTCCTTTTACTACAAATGAAAAATACTTTGGAACAATTGTGTTATTGGCACTTTGACATTAAAAGGTGCAAAAGAGGAAAGCTGGTTTAGGACTCTCACCTCGCTGCTACAAACAGAACAGTTCCCTCTTTTTAATGCATCTTCCTGAAGCCCACAAACACTGGAACAATCAATGGGCTCCAAACATCACAACTAACACAACTCGTTACGTTTCTCAGCACAAGATCACAAGTTCTATCTCTTCCCACGACCGTTTAGCCAACAAGCAGCAGGTACAAGCGAGTATAACACAGTATATTGTTGTATTCTTAGAAGAATAAGCTCTACAGATAGTCTTATCCTAATACTTACCTCATATTAACAGAGCAAAATATAGATTATTGATATATGCAATGTTGAACTGATTAATATTATTGATATATCTAATACAGTGATTCTCAATGGATAATATAACAACAGTCAGAGTCACTTCATCACATTGATGCAAACAGTTTGTAAACATGTGGCTATAAAGACGTCAACATTTCCCACAACGCTCATTATAAAGCAGTGACCTCAATATAAAAGGTAAAGAAAAATCTATAATTCAGATCGATTACTTCTCTTCACTTCGTCCTTATTTTTGATCTCAAATGTACTTCATGTTGTTGTTTTTCCTGTTTCAGGCTGACTCACTACTCTGACGTCGTGTTATTCTGTCTGGCGGTTAAATTCCTTTTAGTTGTTGTTCATGTTGTGTCGAACATGTTGTTATTGCTACGACAATAAGGTTTGTTTTGTGCTGTTGTATCTTATTAATTATGTATTTATATTTGGTTTGAATGTCTGTTAATCCATCGTTGAAAACAAGATGTTGCTTCTCGAGGTGTTTATCTTCAAAATACAAATTAGAAAATAGATGAATTACATTTTGTTTTTGATGGCCGACTCATGCTTTAAATTGATATGAATAAAATCAAAGATTCACAGATACCAGGTTATTTGAATAGAAATATGGAATATTTCTATAGAAATAGAAAAGGTTTGAACATTAAAGTTATGCAACATGGGGTTGGGTAGAATGTAGGTAGTTTAGTCTTAAAGTATTTAGGATTAGAGGACGACTACAATGAGACCGACACACTTCCACAGTATTTACCAGTGTTCTCATGGTCGCTAGTGAGGATTTTTCCTCTCCAGTTAAATAAACAGTAAGAAGAATAAAGACATAATTTGATCCACTTTCACATAAATTAGTTTTTGGTAGAATAAAGTGGGAGAAGATGAGTTGCTGGTATTTACTGTATTTGTTGCTGAGCTGGAGGAGCAGCTCGTCCCTCTGCAGCCAGCTTCACATAGTGGGTACAGATGCTAGAATCAGAGGCCGTTAAAAACAGACTCAACAAGCAATTACTTCCTGTAAATAAAGCAGTAATGGCCCAGCGTGAGTCACACTGCTGCTGACGACGGCCTCCATCACTGGTAGAGTCTCTGACTTTAAGAAACATGAAATCCTTGAGAGAGCGAAGGGAGAACAGCTACTGAGACTGTAAGCTACAATATAGGCAGCTGGACTGGACGGCTGAGGTTTAATAAAGAACATTAGATTTAGATATTAATGTACAATGCAAGCCTTTAATACATATTATTATTACCTATTATTTTGTGAATGCTTCAGCGAAGGAGAAGTCAATCTATCTCTGTGTAGCGGGCGTGTAATAAGCTGTGCATCCCGGCGGAGCTGCTTTCTATGGGCAGGTTTGAATTAGTTCCATCGGTCAGCGAAGTCAAAATTACTTTTTTTGCAGATTATCAAACAGAAAGAAGAGAACACGTGAGAGAGATCAACGTGGCATGATGGAAACAGTTGAATGAGTATTAATTGGAACAAAACTGCTCCAATATTCTGATATTGTCCTCGATGTGGACGTCTGCTCCATCTTATTCTGGACTCCACCCTCTCACTCCAACCATGCATCGAATCCATCACCAGGAACTTCTCCAGACTCTGAAACTCATCATCCAGCCTTCATTCCACTCCCTGCTGGGAGCTTTGGGTTTCTTAATTGGGTTGCTTTTGGAATTGTTGATTATGGGGACTTTTTCACAGCGAATATGAACAGGAGGAATTATTACAGCAACCAATAACTTCGTCAACAAATGGCACATGAGTATTGTTTTAAGACAGACTTTAAACAAATGTCAACCTGCCCTATAAAGGCGATATAACCTCACAATTCACTGATAAATACCTTTAAGAGAGAAGCTATACTGGTTCAATCTTTAAAAAAGGTTTCCCGTGTTCACCTGCCAACAACATCACTGTGTAATCAGCAAGATAGAGAACATTATTCAAACAGGATGCTGAATAATAGTTTGCACTTTGCCACAAACGCCAAATAACTACAGATATCCACACGACATCTCGTCTCCTCAAGCACATGCCAAAAGCTGCAAGTATCTACCTCATGGTGGCGCTAGAGTAAAAGTCAGAGGATCACCAAAAGTCAGTAGGATTCATCCTCTGGGGGCCACGAATGTCTGCACAAAGTTTAAAGGCAATCCATCAAACAGTGGTGGAGATATTTCAACACCGCCACGACACACTTGAAACAAGCACACAGTGACGCACTGACCCGTTGATCATGCTGAGCAGGCCCTCCACCAGGTGGGCCAGGTAGGACACCTGGGCGCTCTCATCGGGGAAGATGGGCCCGTGCATGGAGGCCAGCTGGGCCAGGCACTGCAGGGAGTCCTGGGCCATGTCCGAGTCCTCCCGAATCTTCCTGTGCACCTGCAAGACAAGACAGAGGGGACGCACGCACATATCAGCAAAGATTCTAGATGTTTGTTTGTCACTTCGCTGACACAAGTTCAATCGTGTGAAATGCTTTTGATGGGAGAAAGAAAATGCAATAAATATAATAATAAAAATATAATCCTCTGATTCTGAAGACCAACTTCATTATTTGATTTGTTCTATTTTAAAATCTTGCATTATGGAACATTCTGGAGAAAAACAACAACATCTCTAATCATGGAAATGATCATAATTATCATCATTATTATCATTATACTTCAGCTGTTAAGTCTCTGCATCAACACCAGTAATATTTTACTCATCAGAAGCGACCAACCTGAGCTCTTTGCTTTAGTTTAATCCAACTGTTGCTAAAAGAAAGTGCGTAACAAATTAAATTGAAGACTTAAGTTTTAACACTCAAAGAAAAAAACAGAAACCAGTCACATTCATGTCAGAACTTTACAGAACAGAGATTCTAGTAACAGAATGAATCCATTCTGACACCAAGTCTCAGATAAGCGGAAGAAAACGGATTAACCAATTAAAAAACAATGAACTGATGTAAGTGGATTTAGACTCGCTCATCACAAACACCTGAAAGCTCCCGAAAACATACAAATAACTAACTCACTTCCTTATGATCAATGTTATTGTCTACGGCAGGTAGGAAAAATATTCAAGACCTTCTGCTAAGGAGGTCGTGTTTTTGGTTTTGTTAAAGTTGGAGGAAAGGCGCAGCATGGACGGAGGAAGAACCATTAAATGACTGATCCAGATCACAGGGCTGATACACCGGGGATTTCTTTACTTTCATTATGTTGTGAGATCCTTGGCGGAGGTCTTCGCTCTGCGAGGTCCCTTCTAGTTTGGACTGAATATTTAAAACCCTTCAGATTCCTAAATACAGAGCACGAAAGGAAATGTAATCTACAAGTGTGATACCGCTTTGAAATAGCAAAGCCGTCGACGATGAAGAGGGAAAAAGGTGAACCTGCCTCATCCTCCCGTCACCGCTTTCAAAACACAGATCAGCCGATACTCCGCAGGATAAATACTCACTGGCGTCTCCTACAAACCCAGCAAGCTGATCCCAAGCAGAATGGAGAATAGATTGTATTTATTCTTTATCCCCTCGGTCTCAAACAGACAGACAGCCTCAATCAAACCCGGAGAGGAAGGAATCAAGATTCAGTCTCATCTCAGCTCAGAGCTTCTGCTCTGGTTGTTGGATTGTTTGTCCGTGCCGAGCGGTCACTCTCTGACAAGGAGGAGGCATTGTTGGTTTTAAACTGTGCAACACAGACAGAAACACAGTGAGGTAGCAGCAGTAACAGCACCGCGACTCATCACAGCCGTCTGGAGCTCAGACTGCCTTCATCTCGCGGCTCCGAGCTCTTTTCTTCTCCTCCCGTCATCCTCTTAAATCCAGAGAGAGCTCCTTCACCGGCTCCACATGGCCCCATCGCACAGGCAATCAAACTTTCAACCTCCCTCTCCTTGTTGCTTCCTCTCCCCTTCTTACTCCCTCCCCTCAAATTCTTCCTTGCCGCCTCTCCTCAACTCCTCCTCCTCCTCCTCCTCTCTGCTGGGGTGCGTTGTTGGTGGTAAGCCACGCTGCTGGGAATCTCAGATGCTAACGTAGCGTAGCCACCATAGTCTCTACTGCTGCTCTCTCTTCCAGAGCGTGAAGTCATCCTCTGGAAGAGCAAAGTGAGAGGAGGAGGAGGAGAAGGGAGGGAAGAGCCGGGTGGGTGAGCGAGCGAGCGAGAGAGAGAGGGGAGGTAGTACAAGGCCAAAGGATTGAACAGCGCAAGCTCTAAAAAAGCAGCTGCACCAGTGAATGATCCATGCGATGCCAGTAATGTCAGTCGCCTCGAGTCTGACTATAGTTAGAGATACACTGTGTGTGTGTGTGTGTCAGTATGCGGGGAGTGGGATGGACGAAAAGAGAGAGAACAGGATCCAACAATTAAAAATCACATTCATTATTTGGTCATTCAGTACTTATTTAACGTGCTATAGTGCTGCCAACATGTACACAACATGCGTCATTACACAACATGTTCGTTACATTTGTCAGGTTTATAAATCTGTTCTCATCACTTTAAGGGTTATTGTTACTGATAATATGTAATAACAACATCTCATACAGTTACAACTCTACTAACTGATGATTATTTTCTCTTTTAATCGTTAATTCTATAAAATGTCAAAAAACAACGAAACAAGCTCATAACAATTTATTATAATATTAATACAATATTTTTGTATTTCTTTGGTGTTGAAATAGCTTGTTTTGTCTCAGAACATGTCATTTACAATGACATATGACAAAGAAAACATTTTAGAAGCTTCAAACCACCAAAATCAATTCATAGATTATTAAACTCGCCCTAATTCTAGTTCTTTATCATCTGTGCTGCAGATTAAGTTCCAAAGCTAACAAATCTCTCATCTTTCTCTTTCTCTCTAGCTAAACAACAAACAGGAAGTCATTCTCTAAAATGTTTCTGTGCTCTCTGCAGGTTGTAGTCTGCAGGAGAGCGTTTGCTAGTGGATGAAACCTTCTGCAGTTTAGCAAAACAAATCGGGAGTTCAGAGTCTCACAGATTAAATATTAAATATTATAGTAGCTCATGAAAAATGATGCTGGGCTGAGGAAAGAAGAGCTCAACATTTTAGTTTCGTAGCTAAAAGGTTGTGAAGATGAATTAAATGAATGAAAGCTGCAGTGCGTCTGCTGACACCAGATCAAATGATCCTGTGAGTCTGTTGATGAACCCGAAACATAAATACATGTAGTGAGACACAAAAGATCTGATACCAGACTCACAGTCATTACAATCTCTGTTGAACACAAACTGCAGACACAGTTTGATCTGAAGGATATAATTGTGGGGAAAAACATCAACGATACGTAATGAGAGTCAAGAGAAGAGAAATGAGCTCTAATGAGATAAACTGAGGAAGGAGAAAGTCAGGTGAGGATGAGGAGGATGAAGAGAGAGCAGGACGATGGAGGGAACGAGGGAGGAAGGGTATTTATTTATAGCAGGAAACAAAGCCTGGTGTCTGTTACCTCGGGGGGGGCTCAGAGGCTCATCTTTCTGCGTCCAACTTATTGTCTCCCCCCCCCACCCCAGATTGGGTTACTGTCTGCCTCCAGGCCACAACGTCTGTGCTGCAGCCTCATCACTGATTGTGTTTACTGGCTGCACACGAAACACTCCACTCCGTGTGCTCTTCCATCTCTGTGAGGACGAGGAGGGGCCGATGCTCACTGATACTCTACGGTATGATTACCAGTGTGATCTTTTTAAACCGGACATGTAAACATTTTCTGATGAAGACTATGTGGGATCAGGCTTTAGAACCATTCTTTGGACATGTAGCTCTTTAAAATATGCCACAGACAGACACATACATACACACACACA